TGAGTGTGTATGTCACTGAACTTCCCTCAAACGACTGGACCGATTTTGATGAAATTTTTTGTGTGTGTTCAAGGGGATCTGGGAATGGTTTAGATTCACAATTTGAATAATAATTTTTAACAAAAAAATTATTAAAAAAAGTTTGAAATTTTCAAATTAAAGACGTGTAGACAGGACAACGTCTGTCGGGTCCGCTAGTAATTATATTATTCAATCAAATCCATGTTGGCCTTTCAGATTATCAAGGGACTGCTATGTAAGCAAAATCTAAAATGTACAAGAAAGTGTGTATTTTAGTCTCATTTTATGCTATAAGGAAATTATTATTATTTCATGTTATATCGCATAATTGAAGAAGTGAAGTCTGATCATATCTTATTTTTTCTTTAAGTATCAATAAAATAGGTCTGCGAAATTATTATATGTATAGATATGTAAAATTATTACAAAAACTTTTTCATGGCAGACCAATTCAATATATCATATCAATATATTAATATAATATATTGAACTAGCATTGCCCGCGGCTCCGCCCGCGTTTAGATAACCAAAACCAAATTCTTAGGTTTTACATATTAGTATACTCTTACATTGCACATTTTGTATTTTTTCTCAGAAATGAGATATTTTCCCGCTGTAAAAAGTATCCTATATGTTGACCGGTATAACCAGCTATCATCATACCAAATTTTATCAAAATTCCTCCAGTGGTTTTTCTGTAATGCGGTAACAGACAGACAGGCGGACAAAAATTTTAAAAATTCTATAGTTTTCGCCATCTGTATCGATAATAATGTCTATTTCAATAAGATTTTCCAAAAAATATTTAATGTACAGATTCGGCTTAGTTACAATTTTATTATATGTGTAGATAATAATACCTATAGCATTTCAATATTAATTTGTAGAATCGGATAAGAGTAGGAGGAATAAAACACAATAATATTATGATAATAAGGTTTCTTGTTCGATTAATGCTAGTTACAATAAGATTACTTTACCATATCCTTATACGTTAGAATATTAATTACTTGTATGTTCACAATGTACAATATGTAAGGTTTTTCTTAAATTTAAATTCTGAAAACAGTCCGCCGGGCCGCCGGCCGCAAGGGCACTTTGATATAACATCGCTCAAACTAAATCCAAACAAAATTTGAAAAAATCGCATTTGGTTTACACACATTACACATCACTCAAACACGACACATTTTAGTATAAAAATACGCACATTTACAACGTTATTTTTTTTATTTGTGAAACCGCAACGTTTAGGTACTTGTGAATTTTATCAATCCAAGTCTTTTAAATATATTTTTTCGTAAAGGCCTTGTGCAATGATAATTAATTAATCGTTAAAATTATGCACAGTAGGGAATAAAGATAACGACGGGTGGCCTTATTGTTATATATATTCAAAAAACGCTGGTATTAGTTTAAACTATAGACAATATGAAACAATTTTCTCGTAGATGATAAAACTAGGGATAGTATACATTACTGTAAGCACATATATTCCTATCGTAGAGAGATTTCATTTTATAAAAGAATACCGTAATGCATACTAAACCTAAATTTTAATGTAATGATTTCTGAGAGTAAGATTAAAACTCGATACATAAGTTAATAATAAAATTCAATTATAATATTTGCATAAGATCATTTTTAACATTTTTCGCATATTTGTCATAATCAGTTCAGCCACGAGGCTCTACATTTCTCTAAAATCTAAACAATATCAGTTATGTATAAAGAAAGAAATTTTCATTTGATTTGTTTTAAAATATAATAGAAATATTATTGGTTATGTGCAAATAACTAGAATTAATAGTATCAACGTAACATGTTGCATAAATGCTGTTTATAAGATAGACTTAAAAGCTTACAATGAATTATTTCAGAATATTACATATAATTATTTCAATAAGCATAATAAACTATAATATAATTTTCATACAGAAAAGTAAAGTAGGAGTATAAAATAGTAAACAAAACACTCTATGTATATATTACATTGTGTATTTTAGTAATAATTCGCTTTTATTTATGACTAACATATTGTATTTTTCTGCAAAGTATGAATTATATTTATGCGTGATTCATTTTAAATAATAATCAAAAATTAGAATAAATAGAACCAAAATTTAGATGTTTTAAAAAAAGTTTTTATTGTGCGCTAAAACTACACGAAATTTGAAAATTATTTAACATTGCGTACATTAATAACTGTTATTTTAACATTGTTAGTTAAATTTAAAATACAGTTCCCTTGTCACGTTTATTATATTTACAGAACCGATATCTACATGTCTCAGCCATTACCATAGAAAAAGTCAGTACAATTTTGTGCTTTCAGAAATTATTTGGGTATAAAATATAATATAAGTCTAGATCTATTATTAAATAAATGTGCCTGACTGTCAGCTTATTTATAAATTCGTTAGAAATCATTTCAACTATACAAATACTAACTTGACACTTTCAAATATCTTTCTTATCCTGCTCGTTAAATGAAAACGGTCCTAGTGATACATAATCGTAGTTAGAAATATGTTCTAGCATAATATATAAATTAACATTAACATCTACGCAGACTTTATCATACAACTATATAAATTGACAACTAAAATTCATATGATACTTATACAAGATCGGAATGCCGCCGGAAACAATAGACAATACATATTTTAACAAATGTTCGTTTAAGATATTTACATTATTTAGTAATATACTAAATTTTGTGTATAATGCCTTATAATGGGAATGACATTTATGCGATAAAAATATAAAAAAATATAGGAATTATAAAAACTTAAAAAAAAAACCAACTTCCAGGCACTAAAATGTAAAAAAATAACTAAACCGAGGATGTCATTTAGAATAGATACCTAATCAGATATTTTCGAAGTCGGTGCCAGACGATGCAAAGCAAATCTAATATATTTCGATACGTAAAATACATATTTACCTATAAGATATTCATACGAGTATCTTAAAATATTGTCGGCTGGCACCGACTTCGAAAATATCTGATTAGATATCTATTCTAAATGAAATCCTCCGTTTAGTTATTTTTTACATTTTAGTGCCTGGAAGTCGGTTTTTTTTAAGTTTTTATTTTTCCATTTTTAGTGTAGACGATTACGTCTATATATATATAGCAGGTAATTTGTAAGAAGAAAGTTTTTTGATAACATATTCGTTTAAACAATTTATTTAAATAACATATTTATTGTTGATTTTTTTAAAACCGCTCGACCGATTTTGATAAAATTCATATGGGACCACCCTTTGAAAAAAATAAATAATTTCCAAATCGGTTCTGCCGTCTTCGAGTAATCGGTGTACATGCATAAAAAAAAAGTTTCCGACGAATTGAGAACCTCCTCCTTTTTTTGGGAAGTCAGTTAAAAATATACGCATAAAAAATCCATTTTGTCAGTTATGTTATTATTATCTAAAAACATTAAACAGTATTATAAATGAAGACAAATGTATTTTATTCTCACAAACACTATAGGTATGAAATATGGTGAACAATTTGGATATCTCCACTGAGTCATATTTTTCTTTAAACTGGAAGTTTTCGTACATATACTTGTATATTGAGACAGGTTAAATAATTATATCACAAACATGAACAATGGACAATGTCGATTAATATATTGAAAAGAAAAATAATGCCAAGGGGAAATTTATCTTAAAAATATAACGTTCATCGAGAACTCGGTATCTACGTCAACATCTTGCTATATCAACATAAATTATAATAAAATTTGCTTAATTTATGTTTATTTGATTAGATTTTTATGCACAGAATAAATATTTAGAAGAAATATAAATTATGTAGTGTTGAACATATTATCATAAAAAATAATGCCTAAAAGTCATTCCCAAAATAGACAGACAGACGAAAAGGAATTTATTATATAAATATACCTTAACTAGTTAATATCGTTATATTTTACATTTTATATACAATAATACGCATTGAAGTACAAGAAGTACTTAAACCGTGGGTAAGTTATCACATTTAAGGGTAAGCCTCGAGTTTCCTCTAAAAACAGTAAATCGATTATTGCGAGAAAATCGATTATAATGCATTTAGCTGAAACCATACCACCGCACATGAATATAATAACCAAATAGATTAAAACGATATGAGTATGCATATTACATTATTTAATTGTCCACTTAATTGTGCTGATCATCTCGGATTTTATGAAAATGTCATAAAACGATTATATAATCGATTTCTTGTAATTGAATATCGTTGAACACCGATAGATGAGCATCGTAATACTGTGACGTCACAGAATGGCAATGGCAGTGAAAGCACGATCAGTTTTGCCTTTATTTTCACATTCAAAAGAGGATTAATGAATAAATTATTATATTTTTTACATTCACGGCCACATTCAAATATGCAATATTTGCTAAGTTTTACTTCTTTAAATTCAATTAAAGATCGAAAAGTTTTAACACTTTTGTTATATTTATGTAGAATCTAAAAGTTTAACATTGTAAAACATGGTATGATAAAATGTTGTAAGTAATTATTTAGCTGTATATATAAGTAATTACTATTCTACGTGTAATCTGCCAAATAAAGCCTTGAAAATGATGTTAAATTAAATATTTTCAAATAATTCGTTTCAATACCAAGAAAGTGAACTTGTAATGTTATTAAATTAATGTAATGCGGCTACATAATATGAAACAAATTTTTTTTATATATTACAGTATCATATAATTTCATTGATTTGTTTAATTTCAACAAATTTAAGCAAAACTGACCTTCGGAAGACAAAACTGATCGTTTATAATTGCGCGGCGCGGCGGCAGGCGTGGTTTGAGGGACGAGTGTGCGCGAAGGGCGCGGCTGGCACTAGGGGCTCCAGGGGCCTAACGGACCCGGGGAGCACGAAGTGCCATATAGGCTCGAAGGGCGCGGGGCAGGGGGGCGGCGGCGGCGGGGGCGCCCGGGCCGCGCGCCGTCATACGCCGTCCAGCTGCCGCACGCGCACGTCTTGCGACGCACACATGTCTGGTGCGAAAGGCAGACACGTGAAGTACGCGCACGCTGCACACTCATACGCCGGTGCCGCGTAGAACAACGCGATCAATGCACAGAGCATCGCACCAGCCGAAATAAGACACACCCACACCAACACTATTTTCCTCCGCCTCTCGTATGGCCCGAATGTTATGAACGGCAGTAGCGCGTACGAGAGAAGAAAGCCAAATACGAAACCGAACACATGGGCGAAATTGTCAATCCAAGGCAAGAGCCCTAAAATGAAAAGGGCTATTGCTATCCCCACTAGCTTGAGTAATGCTCGTTGAGGGTGCTTCAACAGCGGCCACGCTCCTATAACTTCTACTATTAGACACGCCAATAGACCAAAATGTGATCCTGCCGGACCAACCTGTAATTGAAAAAGGATAAATTTTCAATAAATTGTTATTTACACATTCATCTATGACAACCCTCATGGTTACTTGATTTCAATATCAATTATGAAAATGGAAATCTTACCTCTGCTCTATAAGGCTCAAATATTGCAGATGCCATATTACCCGCAATACCACTGCCCAAATAAACTACAGCTATTCTAACAGGACCAGCCATTTTTTCTAGATCCCTCATAAAGAGCCACTGTAAGGCGAGCGTGGCTGCCAGATGAAGTAACCCTGCATGCACGAATAGTGACGTCCAAGCTCTGTACAATTGGTCCGGACGACGTCTCCGCATAAAAGGCAACATTCCGCAGACATCATCAAGACAGGACACCTAAAAATTAATTTCAATGATTAGAAAATTCTGAGGTTTTTTCAGAACGCCCAAAAGCCTTTGGCCAAATGAGTTCAAGCGATCAGCTAAAATTTTGAATAAACCTCTGTTTGTTCAAAATTTAATTTATATGTATGTTTTAGTATAAGACGGTCATTATATCTTAAAAACCGTCTTAAACCAATAGAAATAAACTTACTTGTGAACACAAAGACGCCTCTTCGTGAAAGTATCCCTTAACAAAGTCACAATGCTCTCTGGTAGTTATGACGCACTGTCCGTGCACGCCGATGCAGCAAGGATGGCCTATAACTTCACAGGCCATGTGCTCAGCTGCGTGCCCTGCTCGACCCGCTGCGGCCGACCCGTCTAGTACTGACTTCCGACATATTGGCCATTTTGTTATATCGTCTGGCCACTCGTGTGGTGCTATTGATCGGGGTGCTTCACAAAACCTGAAATTTTATGTTGTTTTACTAAGTTATTATGTATATACTAAGTGCCATCTGTCATTGTAACATTTGTGTACTTTTAACTGCCTCAGTAGTATAGTGGCTGGCATGTACGGCTTCACATCCAGAGGTCCTGGGTTCGAGAACCTAGTCGTGCTATAAGTTTAATAGTTGAGTCTTTAACTTAAAAAAATCTCACTAACAGCCCAGGGTTTTTGTTTCACCCCCGTGCAAGAAGCACTGAAAGCCCTTGGTCCTGCACCTGATCTCTAACTAATCATGTCGAATTATCGTCCCATCGGAATTTAAGAGTGAAAGGAATAAAGAGTGCGCTAATATTTGCGCTTATACTTATAGTTTATAATATCTCATGAGTCCTGCGTGATAAGCTAGTCTTGGTGAGATTGCTGACCGCCGTGAAATGGTCGGCCAATCTGACGAAGGACATCATTTGGGTAAACAATCATAATGTGGTTGCTGAACTTGTGATTGATATGGTTAAGACATATTATAGGGAGAAATAAATTCTGTCCTAATTTGTTCACGAAATAATCTTGTCCAATGCAAAAATTATATAACGTTGAATGCTGTACTTTCTCTTTCTACCCTGTTAAGAAAAAACGTAAGGATAGAAATGCCCGTATAGACCCGTAACTGTAAGTATACACAACGTTTCCAATCATAAATAACAATACTACTTACTTCGGGTCTAGTCCACAAACAGAGCCTGATATTCGACCTCCAGGACCCGACTCGCCTGATGACCATTTTTTCCATGTTGAAATTGTATTCTGTAAATAATATTAAATTGAATACCAAATGGCTAACAAAGTTTAAAAAGCTTATTTTGTTTAATCATGGATGATTATAATACAATTAAAATACTCATATATATAATTCAAAGTCTTTGTTCATATTTTGGCCTAGTTAAAATAACGCATACAGGCAATGAAGTTAATACTTTCCATAGAAAATAAATGAAATAAATTGATACATAGAAACAAATTCCACACTTACCTTTGACACTAATCCTCTAATCTATGATTGCGTGTAAGTAACATTGAATTAGTTTTATAAAATAATATATAGAAAAAAATATATATAACGTTAAAAGTTAAATGCATTTACTACATTAAATACGATTTTGCTTTATTAATTGTATTCAAAGTTACCGAACAATCAGCTTTTGAAGACTGTACACATCCCGAGTCATCGTTTCGTATGCAACACGCTGTATCACGCTCTCTTCTCGCAGACGCCGCTATCGCCCGCGCTATCCTCGCGTCCCGCCTCATGCAAGGCGCAAACTTAGCACCTAAATGTATGAGATCAGCAGCCCGCGGCCCGAGCCAAAATGATGCCGGTTCTTCCCACTCCACCTGAAATTAGAATGTTTTAGAATAAATATAGTATTAAAACATAAATACGAGTATATCTTATGATAAACGTGCTATTATAGGAAATTAGTAGGTAAATAACATTTTTCATAATGCTAAGCGTAATTATTATGCCTAATTAATTATTTTTAGTCCGCGTGGTAACAGTATTTGATCTGAATTAACTATTATAATTGATCTAGCTTTACACTAGTTGGTAGTTACGTAGTCGATATACATATATAAAAATAAACATTTGCTTCTCTGTTGTAGACATAACCGTTATCAAACTATCTATCTAACTGTGATTAGGGACGAAACTTTAGCGAATCGTTGAAGGCACGTCTATGAAGGCTTCGAACATAGTCGCACTATAATTCAAAGTATCAAAGTATGATAATATAATCTGTGATGTACTTATTACAACGAGGAAATTAGGTGTATATATGCATTTATCACCATACGTGTGTTACGGTGAAGGAAAACATCAACGTTTGAGAGAACCTAGCAAGGTTTCGAAAGACATGTGAAGTCCGCCAACCTGCACTTGGCCAGCGAGGTTCGAGTCATTCCTCCTTGTAGTAAGCTGGCCCGTACCCAGCAGTAGGACGATAAAAAGGGATGTATTCAGCCATGTATGTATGTATGTATACATGAGCGTTTCTTAGCATCAGTGAACTCACAATCAGAGTGGGCTGTTTGTCTATATTAATTTAATAAAGAAGTAAAGTTTGTGAATTGTGAGTTTGTGATGTTGTAGGGGGTAATCTCTGGATTTACTGAACCGATTTAGATGAAATTTGATAAGAAGATAGTTTGAGACCCTGAAAAGGACATAGGATACTTTTTATCCGTGAAAATGGGGATGAAAGTTTGTATTGGGAAGCAAGCCAGGGACGAACCCAAACGAAGCGAGGGTGAGTCGCTAGTTCTTTAATAAAAACAATAAAATATATTATGTAAATAAATAAATATATCGTGATTCATGTTTAAAGATAGTATCGTCGGATTAGCTGCAAAAACTAAACAAAGGTTTTCATACAAAGCCTATGTGACCTAAATCTCTGTCACTCGTTAATACTCTTACTTTGTCGTGTCGACCTTCCACCTACCGCAGTTAAAGCTCTGTATTTGTTAATTGCTCATTATTATACGACACGAATGGTTTTATTAGGGTACAAATATTTAAGCGATTTTATTTAGATTAGTATACATAGACAGACATACAAAAGAATATATAAAATTGAAGCATCACGAGTAAAAACAGTGGACTGGATTTCATACTCCATTCTTGTGGTTATAACACGAGATCAATACTCGTACGTAATATGTGATCGATAGTTGTTCAGATAAGTAAAAAATGCACAATGTAAATCTCATGAACTATAATGTAAACTTAGAATATTTTAAATATGTTAATATTTCAAGCTAGAATTAACGCTGAAGTATAACTGTACTAAACTAACTAAATACTTGTACATAATATTAGGCCGTTTTAAAACTGACCTAAATAGAAAATATTAAGTATAAAAAATTAAATATACCTATATAATAGTATCGTATTATTTACTAAATATTGTATAATTATAAATTATATATAAGCAAAATAAGCCTTAGATTTTAATATATTATTTAGTTACAATAGGCGAAGTATGTTACGAGTTGCAGATAATCTTATGGAATTTAATAAAACTTTGCGGTTTTAACTCTACAGAGTTAATATTTAAATAGAATGTCAAAGAGATTGTGGTTTATGTTTGAAAATACTAACTTATCCTATCCTATTAAGCGAGCAATATTCGGCTCGAAAACGGCTCTAACGATTTCGATGAAATTTCCAATATGCGGATTTACGAGGACGAAATATCGATCTAGCTAGGTCTCATATCTGGGAAAATTCATATTCTCCGTATTTTCAAGCATCAAGATTTGCTCGCGCAATATGGATCGTAATTTTGGCCGCCACTGCCACCGCGCCGTCTGAATAGCCTAATGGTTAAAGCATTGGCCTTCTACGCCGAAGGCCAGAATACAACAGCAAATAGGTACATAAATTATAACATAATATAATCATAATATAATATAATCATAATATAATATATAAACATAATATAATCGTCTAAAAATCTCAATTTCATATTATGACGCAAGCAAAGGTTGAAATAGAATAAGTACATAGTAAGTACTGAGCTCTACTAATTCTGGTTTATACTAAACCTTAGGTAATGTGTTCAGTCTAAAAGCTTTACGTTGTTAATGTGAGCTATATGAAACTATACTAAGAAGGAAACTTCGAATGATATTTTAATAGCTCCCACGAGGTGCATCCAAAAGTAACTTTATCTAAGTATTTAAATGTACTTGAAGCAATTTCCTACGCTTTTAATAACATTATACGAATAAAGTACAATAATAATATACGTAAATCTATATATAAAAAATAGTTCGTCTGCTTTGAATTAAATTGAAATGATACAATAATATATCCTGTCTAATGTGCATAGGAGCAGTTGATATATATCTACATCATCATATCCCTGTCTATTTCTCAATCTTGAGGTCGGCGCAGTACATCTTCCGTATTGCTGATTGGTTTTGGCAAAAGTTTTACGACAGGCTGACTGCCTGATATCCACTCTTATTGGAAATGCTGTTGTTTATCCATCATCGTGCAGAGGTACGATGACCAGCACAGGGTCCTTAGATCTTGTACGCCTTGTAACTTCACTTGTAGCATTTGACCTTGAGATTTTTTTATTTGCAGTTTTAACATCTAATTTAACGTTAAATAAAACTATTGAGTGCCAGCAATTTTTTCACCACTTTCATTGGCACAGTAAATTTTTTGGGGTTAAGTGTAGCTTTAACACTTAGACAGTTCTTAAATATGCTTCTTGTAATAGGCATGTTCCATATTGTTTAATTTTAAAACATTTTTATAGTATTGATATATATCTACGTGTACGTGATGAAACTTTCTTAGATTTACGCGAATATTTGACATATTAAATAAAACTATCTTCGCGGATTTTTAAAAAACTTTATTAATTACTAATATTATTTAGTGTTGCTATTATTATATTATGTGTAACCATAAAGAATATTAAAAAATCAAATCCACAAATACTCCCGAGATACTTTATTATTTGCACTCAATTTTGATGTAACTTACAAATATTCTGCCATCTAAAGTTGTCTTAAACGTTATCGTAAAAATGTCTTCCTCGTCCAATTTCGATCATGACAACTGTTTTCACCAAGTGAAACCGTTCATTAAAATATATGATAGTGTGCAAGCACAGTAGGAATCTACACAAACCCTAGACCTATGGACCGTAGAAACTGCGCAATTATAAACTGTTATCAAAGTTTCTTGGTAGCAAAACAAAATTCAATCACATTTTCAGCTGAACCTAAATCGAACTGGGTCATTACCAGAATTGCGAAAAAAGAAGACCAGAAGAAAGTATATCCAAATGAGGTTTTTTTTATTATAAAAATAATTAATTTCACAATAATTAATTACCTGTTGTAAGCTGAGACTTTTCACAAGAACTTGCCCGGAATGCGTATGTCTTCCAAACCCGACTGGTCCAAAGCCGTAGCAAAGCAGCGACAGTAACAAAACCATCGTCTGCACTGTGCTCACCCACCACGTGAAATAAGGTCGGTAATCCGTTAACTCGTCTAACTGTCGAGCCACTTCTTCTTGATGAGTAACTGATTTTCGAAGAGATCGCCTGTCAAAGTAATGGTAAATTACAAATTTTGCGTATAACTGTTTTTTTATATAATACATTGATCGTGCATAACACAGTGGAGTCTTTAAGTACACTACGCAAAAATAATAGGCTCCGATCAAATATATGCTTTATAGCTGTAGATAATTATTTCATTATTTCTTTTAAATACTATTATAGATAATATTGATTTGTAGTATATTTGTTAGCATTGATTATTATATATGTATGTATTCAGCCCTTTCTATTGTCTCATGTTGTTTATTGTGCTACGAGTATGCGCGAGCCACCTTTCAGGACATCCTAACTAAGGGTATAGTGTGAGCTTTTCATATTAATGTTTTAAGTTTTCATGACGAGTAGGAAGGATAAAATAATAAAATAATATATTTTGGAACATTAACACACAGCACCACCTAGTTCCATGGTAAGCTACGAACGAGGCTCGTGTTATGGATGCCAGATAGTTGATACACTACACATATTTAACTTTAAATATATACATATTATAAATATAAACACCCATAACTGGAGTTCATACATTCGTGCTCATCACACAAACAGATGACTCAAACCCGTGACTACTGGTACAGCAAGTAGGGTCACTACAAACTGAGCCAAACGTGTCGTCAAAAAATAAAAGAAGTATAAAATTTAAAAAATAAATAGGCAAATACATATCTATACATATAATAAAATTCTGAGTCAAATCTGTACATTAAATATTTTTTTGGAAAATCTTATTGAAATAGTCATTGTTATCGATACAGGGACCGAATCTATAGTTTTTAGATTATTTTGTCTGTATGTCGGTCTGTCTGTCTGGGAACGCATTACAAGAAAATCACTGGACTGATTTTGATGAAATTTGGTATGATGATAGCTGGTTATCCAGATATATATATAAGATACATTTTTCTTCGTGAAAATAACTTGTCTCTATGAAATTTACACTAAATGTTAAAACGTAACTAGGGACGAACCCGAACGGAGTGATGGTGAATCGCTAGTCATAGGTATATGTATAAATAAGAAACTAAAAATTTTAGGTAAATATAAAATTTATTGAAAAAAAAATCTATTGTAAATTTATTCTTCCAAAGATAAAGTATAATGCGTAATAAAAATTAAAAAAAATGAAACAGACTTAAAAGCCTTAAAAATTAGGAAATAACTGAACGCGCAGAATCAAGAATTACTTAATACCAAATAATGTTAATATTGAAAGCGATAATATTACAAAAGTCATTAGCAGTATGATAGCTAAAATTTTTTTACTTAATATAGAGCTTAATGATAAAAACTCAGAGAAGATTTTATTTTTATTTCTTTATTCTGTTCTGTTATTACATAAAATTTTGGTACAACTTGAGTAAACACAAGTAACACGTTACTACGTGTTACTTGTGTTTACTCAAGTTTACTCAAGTCAGATCATATATTTTATTTCTGTGTTTTACTCAAGTCAGATCATATATTTTATTTCTAACTAGCGGCTCACCCTCGCTTCGCTCGGGTTCGCCTCTAGAAAAACACTGATGGAAATCTATTAGTTCCCACGGGAATCGTTCATTTTCCCGGGATGAAAAGTAACCTGTTGTTTGACCGGCAATATAAGGTATCAGAATGTTAAATATTACCAAATTAGGTACATAAGTTCTTGTGTACTAAGCTGTATAAGATGCTATAGTTTTTTTACTATTCCACGGGAACTCTTTAATCTTCTGGGATAAAAGTGTCTAAGATGTTGACCGGGGATATGAGGTACGGCCATGCAAAATTTCATTTAAATCGGTTCAATAGTTTCGGAGATTAGCCCGAACAAACAGACAAACAGACAGAGAAACAAAAAAAATGAAAAAATCTGGATTTGTTCTATTTGTCTTCTTACTTCCCCCTGACTCGGTTTTTAGCATTTTTTTGCTATGTACAAACATTCGACCTCTACTGTTTTATTATAGTATAGATTTTAAATATATAATGTATGTAAGTACGACGAGTAATACGTCCTATTATATATCGATTTATTCATTTCATATTGAATAACAAAACCTTTTAATAACGATTTCCAGCAAAATAGCAACAATCGAATGAGTGGAATAATTTGATATAAATTAAAGTCTCCGGCGCGAAAGGGAGAAAATCGCGAAATAACTCATAAATAACACCCAATGCCATGTCCACGAGGTATTAATTTAAAAACCCATTACAGCAAGTTAAAATGGGAGTTTCTGGTAAGCAGTGTAATATATTGAGGCCACAGGTGAGTTATTACAGATTCAGAGGACTCTTGTATAACTTATTTTATTACAATTTCATTTGATATTCTTTATGAGAAACCATTAGAATAAGTATATATTGTATTTTATTCAGTCGTATTGTGGTCATATTCTAATAGTACTTAATATTTGTGTTACGAGTATACCTATCTAAATAAATCAGCTTCAAAAAACGATATTTACGAGTATATCGCAGGCTTATTGTAGAATTTGCCATTATACAATTGGCCAAAACTTAGGTTTCTAAAATGTCCAAATAAACGAACCATTTTTTAACTCATTAAACTTCTAAAATATACTTTTAGAGATTTAACCTGGTCAAAACTATACTCATCACGTCTTTAGCTCCGCTGTTCATTCGCGACAAGAGTAAGTTTCGCGTTGTTCTAAGTTTAAAACTTTTCATTATTTATAAAACTCACAAACAACAACAGAAAGTTGTTCTTACTCAAAGAATACGTAATATCTTTCACGCGGTAAAGTAAAATGAAGCAAGTTATGAAATTTAAAACAGGTTTTAGTACTTTAATTCATTTAAGTACTTACTGCAAAGTGAGCAAAAGGTCAGAGTTAACGAGTCTACGATTAGATTATTAAAGTTAAATTTTACTTATAAAATGCTAGGTATACTTGAAAAGTAGGAACTTATAAATGAAACCATGTAAGCAAAATGCTAATATAAATAAAAAAATCATAACAAATCCCATATTTCATTTAGCTTTCCTTATGAATAGTGAATAAATAAGTCGCTCTCAATAGATATTATGAAACATTAAAATATGAATAGTATTCCAACATCAGGTGAGTATCATAGACGACTAAGCTCTTTGCGAGGCTCTTTAATAATTATGACATGGATCGATAGTTCAACGAGACTCCGTCCGACGAGTAATCCTGAAAATGATTCGCCCCAACCGCAGACAGCGTTCTTTTTATTTTTATAAAAGGTAGTTTTCAGATGAACAATGAACTCGAGTTTTTATTTATGTAGAGTTTTTGAACAACACTGAATGGACGAATGAATACGAAAGAAAGGATAAATGCGAAAACCGACAACAAGATGAAACTGGGATCGTTACGTTTTTATAGACGGAATATAGGTTTGCGTATAACTGATATATAATAGATACTTTGATTGCATTACTGCTTATTGCCTGCGGTTCCGCTAACATGTGACATTTAGCCTAAAATCACTTTAAGTAAAAAAAAATTGCTCGTGGTTTTCCTGCTAAATAGCGGGTCAGGCATGAAAAATTATTTATGATGCTACTATGATAAAATCTGCTAAAAAAATTACCAAATTACATCAAAATCGGTTCAGCGGTTTCAATGTGATAAAGTAACAAACAAACTTACGCATTTATACGTATAGTACTTGTGTTGATAGTTTGTACTGATAATGAGAAGAGACGTTAGTATTCATTCAAATTTTCTCGTCTAGTGATGTTAGTTCAAATAAACATACAAACAGTTACAAAATTAAAAAATTAAACCTGCTATTTGGACTTCTATTATAAACATTAGTTTCAACCAACTGTCTATTTAATACTAAAGTTCTTTGATGAAACAAGCACCGTATAGTTGAGTTGGTTTTTAATTACGTAATCATGTAGCCACTTAGTAGCTTGAAAATAAATAGAATCCATAATATGGTATACACGACTGCATTATGAATGCATATTCATATGAAAATCAATAACTTTTTTATTACCGTGGAAATGTGACAGGTTTATTTTATCAGTAGCATACATTAATATTAGTAACTAGCGGCTCACCCTAGCTTCGCTCGGGTTCATCGCTAGGTACGTTTTAAATAGATATAAATAGTTATTAGCCAGCGTTAGCCATATAAATTTTAATTTTTTTGTTAATAATATTGACAAATATTGACATTAATATTTATACGATACTAACGTCACTCAATTGTTTGCCTTCCCGGAACCTCTTCACTAACACTAAACTTTATGGTATGGTATTGAAGTTCAAATTGACTTTTAAGTATTATTACGAATCTTTTGTATGGGAGTATAGAAAAGTGTTGTTTATAGGCAGGCAGGCAATTTTTTACATTTTTCTCTCCGTAAGAACCATCCTCGTATTTCAAGGAATATTCTAAAAAAAGAATTAGCGAAATCGGTTCAGCTGCTCTCGAGATTTGCGCTTACCAACACATTCAGCGATTCATTTTTATATTATAGAAGATTAGTTAGCAAGATTACAATGCAGCGATTTAGTATTAGTGGTTTGGATAATAATCAAAAATGTTTCAAATAAATCCATACTCTTATAAATCCATACTAATATTATAAATGTGAAAGTTTGTGAGGATGGATAGGATGGATGTTTGTTACTCTTTCACGCCAGAACGGCTGAACGGATCTGGATAAAATTTGGCACAGAGATAGATTGCAGTCTGAAATAGCATATTAAATTACTTTTTATCCCGGAAAAATGTACGTTCCCGTGGGATATATTTGCTTTTGTCTAGGGACGAATCCGAAGCGAAGCGAAGGTGAGTCGCTAGTAATAAATATTTCTACTGAATTTTATAAGTTTTGCTAGTAAAGAAAATTAGATAGATAATACAATTTAGTAAAATATTTATGTATGTAAGAGATGTACAATCATATTTTTTCCTTATTCGATTTAATAAACAAAATAATTAATATTTTTTATAATATGTAAATTGTGTATAATGACAACACGTTTGGCTCAGTTTGTAGTCCCGCTGGGGGCATTCTTTTCTGTGATGAGCACGAATGTTTGTACTCCAGTCATGGATGTTTATATTTATAATATGTATGTAATCAAAGTTACATATGTGTAGTGTATCAACTATCTGGTATCCATAAAACAAGCCTCGTAACTTACTATGAAACTAGATGGTGCTGTGTTATTTGTGTATTAATGTCCCAACATATTTATTTATTTATTAATAATATTAATTTGTCTCATCATATTATAAATTCTTTGTACTACTTAATATTTATATTGTATTAACAGCAGAAACATCAGTTAGGTAGTAATATTAGTTAACTATTTCATAATTATGCAGGCAATTACGAAACACTGTACTCTGTGGCAGTGTAGTAAAACATATTTCCGTCAGTCTGTTTGTGTATTGTCACGTATTATACGCGATAAATTTAATTTTGAATTGTACTATTATAATTTCTTGCCAAAAACTGCGTATTTCTTAGTATATTTATATTATTTCCCCTCTCTTTCTCTCACTATCTGTTACTCTTTTAATATAGATATGTATTTTATTAATAATATTTTTAACTATCTTATAAGATGATATACTTTTTCTACTAAGTTTACACTCATTTATTATATATCTATTAACTATTTATATTTACTACACTACACTTTGATGTACTGAGAAAATATGGTAGTGTATATTGTATGAGTACATTATAAATTACGTGATTTTGGTAAAATTAAATACTTCACACATATATATAATATATATATATATATATATATATATATATAATATATATATATATATATATATATATATATAATCTCCGTGCAAAAAACAAAACCAGAATTTCAAAACAATTATAAGAGCATACCTAAAAAACCTTCCAACCACGCCCATTCCAAACTGCCTTCTATTCGAATTGTCTGCCAAAGGTTCGAGCATAGGAGTGCGAATGCGTACGCCGCCTGTGCCCCACTGCACGCTGCGCTCCGGCCTCCTGTACTCCACGCTGGACGATCCAAGTGGTGACCGACCTCTGAAAAAGTCATAATATTTTCCTTTAGTGATAGTACTTTTCTATCTTATAAGTAAAATAAACAGATAAATAATACACGATGCTAATTTAGTTGTCGCAATATTTAAAAGTCCAACTAAACTTTTTTAATCGTTAGTTTAATTTAGAAAGAGTAAGTATAGTAGAAAGCTCGCTTGGAAATCTATCAAAGTAACGTACATAAGGCTAGAAAATTGAAATTTCGCACATGTATTCCTCATATGACGAAGTGGATGCCACTAAGAAAGAATTTTGTAAAAATCTAACCCCCAAGGGGATGAAATAAAGTGTGTATTGCGATAAAAAAATTTGATCGCGGGCAAAGCCGCGTGTTCTACTAGTCTATAATAAACTTCTAAGTAACCAAAGCACTTTTTTGTACGTGTAAATGTACCAACCAAACCAATTGAAATATAATATATAGATGAATTATAATTTATTGTACAGAGCTTATGTTAACAGATTATAAAATTGAACAAACATGATTAAAACAATACGAACATTGGAAAGCATTCGCCATAAATTGTATTTGAACTACATACATAAATATACATACCAGTAGGAAAATATGAATGCCCTATTTTCTTAACTAGCCCAATGGTATCGATCGACAGTAAAGTAATTTTTATTGCATAATGTTAAGTGCTTCAAGGGTTTTTTTCTGTTCAATATTCAATGAATGTTTCAAGTAAATTCTCCTAACAATAGCTAATAAAATAATAATAGGTAGTAGGTACTTAGTTGTACGTTATTTGTCAGATATTTTTTTGAAGTTTATGCCAAATTCTCGCAATTTCACCATATTATAATAAGTACCTGGGCGACCAAGCTTCGCTCGGAGATTTTTTTGTTATATTGTATTTTTTAGATCAAAAACAAACTAAAAACTTGAATAAATAAAAAAAACGGAAGTAAAAACTTTGTATCCGACCGGGATTCGAATCCGGATAGCTGTGATTGTCAATCTTGCGCCGTGGCTGTTTGACCACAAAGCTTATGCCCGTGCGCGCGAAATTAGCGACCATATTTTGCGTGGAATCATGCGAAAGAAAACCGCATGAAAATTCGAAAACACGCGTTTTCCCACACATAAGACTAACCTAGATCAGTTTTTCATCCCCGAAAACCCGCACATACCAAATTTGAGCGAAATCGTTATAGCCGTTTCCGAGATCGCCGGTATAAATAAATATATAATATAATACTTTTAAATATATGTATTAGATATGGTCATATTTATAGTGTTATCAACATATTAGATTATGTATTAAACTATATAAAACCCATATGAAAGCATATAAGCTCCACAGATTTCTAGCAAATAATATATATAAATATTAACATTAGAGTTACCTTTTACCTTCTCAGAGATTTAATAAAATAACATGAAGTAAAAAGCCTGATCAAATAAGTACCGAGTCAATATATAGAATTATTAACAAAGTAGTTTTCATCGTGCATACGTCCAGTATGGTAGTTGACCCGATTTAATCTTCAATTCACAGACCCCTGTCATAGAGATTTGGGTAAACTGATATATCTGTCAGATATGTAACAATGTGATAAAGATTCAAATGAAAACCAGCGTCGAGTTTTTCGCATCCTGTTTGGCTTTATTTTAAAACGTAACTGTGTTTGGAAGGTTCCCGCCTTTACACAAACTAAAATTAAAGTACCTGAATTTTTTATATTAATACCAGCAAATTACCCACCCTTCGCTCGGCTGTGTTTCTGCGTGCCTAACAAAGGCCGACTAACTCAATGGCAATTTTTTCCGACTACAGTTAAAGTTATTATGATTTCTAATAATACTTTCTTAGATTTACGCGAATACTTGACATTTTAAATAAAACTATCTTTTCGGATTTTTTCGCGAATTTATTTTGATTTTTGGTTCCCGACGTTTCGAATGCTTTACAGCATTCATGGTCACGGGAGAGACGTGAAAAAATCCGAAAAGATAGTTTTAATTAAAATGATTTTTAATATTAAACACGTTTTCATTGAATTAAAAAGTGTCTACAGCACTCGGCGGTAATGTACCTTCCTATTGAACTTACAAACTTTACATTTTTATAATATTACATATACTTAGATATAATTTGGATGTTACAATGTAATCAAGTTATCTAAAACCTATTAATATCAGACTATTAAAAATGAGTTTGTATGTGTGTGTATATAATATATGTGATCTAAATTCATCCATATTACATACATATTTTATAGATCATCGACTGGAATTACACTAAAATTGGCCAAAAGGTGGCGCTGATCGTTTCCCAAAAGATGAATGCATAGGTACATATTATAAGACATACATATAGTCGTAAGTCACTAGTTGAGAATATAATAATCCTAGTCCGTTTTACATTTAAATTGATGTAGATTTTTACATTAAAATTCAGATAGCTCGCAAGCAAATCACAAGAGATCTGTGTGGTTATGACGTATAATTAAATACTTTGACGATAAATAAAACGTTTCGGCAAAGAATATATTGCGTATAATATTAGTGTTGATTTCGTGCTCTACAACTATGGCTCTATTAGCTACGACGAAGTAACATTAAACTCATAGAGTATAATTTTAAAATGCACAATACCAATCTATTTTGCGCAGTATTATACCCCTTCCATCACAGTATCTAAATATAATATAGTTTCTTACCTCACTTAAATGGGCTGCTAAAGCCAATTTCCGACATTAAAACGAATTTTTTTATAAAATTTCTTTAAAAATCTTAAATAGGATGCAAGAGTCTTAATGTTTATATTTACAATCACGCCAAAAAGAATTCATAAAAGACATGGGCAATACGTCTGTTGTGTGTAGCATACTCAATTAATAAACAATATTATATAATAGTATTTTTGTTTTTAAACCTCACTAATGCAAATGTTTGTACTTACGATAATAACTCAACTCTGTTTGAGTTTCTTACTTATAAATATTGTATCGACTGTAAAATTTGGAAAGGAGATAGCTTATCTTCTGGATTAGCACTTATACAGGACTTTTGAAGTGAAACTTCTTTAGAATCGTTGTGACTTCATGAAACGAAAATACGTCACGACAAAGAGACAAACGCATAAATATATAGGATTAAGCCGGCGAGAGAATGAGATAGAACACATTTCACAGGAAGTTAAAAATAATAAAAATAATACTAAATAATATTATGTAATATTAGTTAAAAAATGTAAAATAACATTTAAACTTGGTAAAAATATCATTAAAAAAACTTACAATTATCCTAATCCTGATATATTCATGTCTTTCTCTCGAAGGTTACTTTTCTGAAGTTTGACTCCCACCGTGTGTGAATTGCACACATACACACACACACACACACACACACACACACACACACACACACACACACACACACACACACACACACACACACACACAAACAAAATTACGTACTATGCAAGCGATGTCGTGAACAGAAACTAGTATATATAAAAAGCTTTACGTTAGCATGATTAGCATAGAAACAAAATGTCAATTTTTATTAATTACACATAATCTAGACAAATATGCCAAGAAACAAGGTGATTAGTCTGTTATAAAAGAGCTAGGTAATGTTATTTAATCTATTGAGTGTTACATATATACATATTGAGCAGCACCGTGGTTTAAGTTGGCGTGAAGGCCGTGACCTACTTATTCAACTTGCTGAATATGCTTTAAAATAAAGCATATAGGATAGAAAAGCTTGAAATTGATGCTAGGTGTAAAGTCAAAGTAATTGACTTATTGATAATCTATACAAGAGAATAATAAAATTCTAACTGAGTCGAAACTTTACATTAAATATTTTTTGGAAAGTCCTATTGAAATAGCATTATTAACGATACAGAGGCTGAATCTGTAGTTTATAGAATTTTTGTCTGTCTGACTGTCTATCTGGAAAAGCATCACGAAAAATCCACTTGACAGATTTTGATGAAATTTGGTATGATGATAGCTGGTTATCTGGGTCAATATATAGGATACTTTTTACTGCGAGAAAATATGTCATCTCTGAAAAATATTGTAAAACTAAATAATATTTTAAATTAAGTTTAAGTAAAATCATTAACCTCCAAAAATTGTAGGGATAGAACCACTAATAGGTAATAAAACCTATATTTTAGCTTTTAAGATTTATTTAGATCTCTATCCATGGTTTTATAAACAACTAGCATTGCCCGCGGCTCCACCCGCGTTCAGATGACCAAAAACCAAATTCTTAGGTTTTACATAATATTAGTATACTCTTTGAACTACATTGCAGTTTGTGTATTTTTTCTCAAAAATGAGACAATTTCCCGCGGTAAAAAGTATCCTATATGCTGACCCGGATAACCAGCTATCATCATACCAAATTTCATCAAAATCCCTCCAGTGGTTTTTCCGGGATGCGGTAACAGACAGACAGACAGACAGACAGACAGACAGACAGACAAAAATTCTAAAAACTATAGATTCGGCCTCTGTATCGATAATAAAGTCTATTTCAATAAGATTTTCCAAAAAATATTTAATGTACAGATTCGGCTTAGTTACAATTTTATTATATGTATAGATCTAGTAATCTCTCATTTTAATGAAATAACTAGGTTAACTACTAACAACTACTAACTAGTAACGGCCACGTTTAGTCATGAAAGTTACCTCTTCAGCTTCCAGTTCGGTTAAATAGAACACGTCTATATTGGCGATCCAGATATTTTGAGGGTACTCGTGTTCAATAATATGTTTCTGGACTACCAAAGTAACTTTATAGTTTACTACTACTGTCTACCCCATAGGTTCATGGCACTTTATCTGGTTCGTAGCTTTGTGGATCTAAGCTCTAGTGGCTAGCTTGTACAAATACAAATCTGAAGATCCTGGGTTTGATTTCTGGTGGGGTAAATTTTGCTATTGGCTTTATTTGGCTTATACATTTCTAAGTGTACCTTGGAACTGGGATATTGACGGAAGATAACCCA